AGTATAGCTAGTCTTTATTTAGTGAATATGGACGTTGTGCTCGTTCATTTTCCTGTTAGAACAGTGTAAATTGACCCTGAGGTTCTGGTGCCTACCCACTTTCGGCCACCCCTCAGTGTACATTGGTTAACGCCTGGCCACCCTTTTAAAATTTTTCAGGCTACACCTCTGCTTTTATCACCTCCTCCAGCTTTCCTTTTTTAAGTCGCTGACCTACAGTAAACTTTTTATTGTTTCGTAGTTGTATCTGTCTGCCCCATTGGCTATTTTATTCATTTTATGTCGATATAACAAAAAACTAAAGTAAAAAATAAAATGAAGTTATGCAATTTCATCAAAGTTTGGCAGCATGTCAGATGAGATTGATTCATTTTTGTATGATTTAAAGGTCATTTTATCTCCTTAATTCGTCACAGTTGGATTATTTCCCAAATTGGGAGTGTTTATGTTCTCTAAAGACATTTGGATAGGATTTCTGAGGAAACAATTCTGTCATATGACATTCAAACTAGGTCTATTTAACTACCTCCACTTCAGGGCATCTGTGTAAACAAGGAACATGTTTCTGCACCTGAAAAACAGTAAAACAGCACCACCTAGAGGTAATATTGAGAAACTGAACACGTTTGATTCTCAACAGCGTCTCGGACACTTTGCGTCCTTTCTAACTGAAGGTTTTACCTTTTTTCACTCAAAAGTTTATAGGTAAATTTGTTTTTATTTGTTGATATTTTTGTGATGCTCCTCATAATTTTTATTTTTTGTTTTGTTTTGCATTGCAGGCTAGTTGATTTGGTACAATAAATGTGTTTAGTTTTAATTGCACAGAGAAGTTAACGTTATTTGATTTTAAGTCATTGACTATAATATACCTACTGTTACAGTATAGGAATGCATCTTGCAAATCAAAAGGCAAATCTCTTCTTAAGTTGACTTATTCCAAAGATAATTTTTAAAGCTGGTCACCCCAGTGGTTGGTTTATAGTAAATAAAAAAAAAAAACTCAATTAATATATTAGAAAAATGGAAACAAAACCAAAACCAGCATATAAATAGAGGCCCAAAACTGATGAAAAAAATAAATTAAATAAAAATATTTTGTCCTTTCTGCACAAATCGGCTGTTTTAAGCCTATTGAGAATGTATAACTTAAAGAACTGAGAATAATGTTTTTTTTTAAGTAATCAAAGTTCTTCAGATGCATCTTTACTTTCTAACTTATTTACTGTAAGAAATAGCCATCCGCCAACATATATTTGACTAGCAGGTTTCAGCATTTAACTGCTGTTCGTTTTTAAGAAACCACTTCCTGATGTACATATGTGAGTTTTATTATCTCAAATATATAGAGGGATTATTTGTAAAATATACACAATAAATAATAAAATACACAATACACAATAAAATAAACACAAAATCTTTATTTGTATATGAGAGAAAAGCTGTGTTAAAAATGAGGCTGATCTTAAAACCATAAACATTTGAAAATGCGGCATTTCGGCTTACTTATTCGACTTACGGATTAGCCACAACTTTCAACCTTTGTGTTGAGTAAATGGTCAACTAGCTGCTAATTAGGAAGACAGTCATCAGACCAGCAGTTCCTTGTATTGACTATCAAGATCTTTTTCTGGATGTAAAACAATAAATCCAGATACAGAATATTGACGATGACAGGGAAAATAACTTTATTACAAGTTGATTAGACTGAAAATAAGAAACATAAATTTCCTTTCAACCTTGGCGTTGTTTATTTTTGGACTGACAGAATGAATTTAATATGATCCATATTGCATCAGTGACTGGTAAAGAGCAAACAGAAGCCGGTAAGAGAGATGGAGGCATCACCTGAGGAGCTGTTCATGATTGGCTTTAAGTTCAAGTTCAACAATTGCTGAAAAGGTGCACAGACATGTTTAGTCATTAAGGAGTCAAGGAAGGTCAAAGTCTCTGATGCCATAATAGGAAAACAAGCTGAAATACCACAAACAGGCTTAAATTTGAAGGCAACCAAGCTTTCGCTCAGCTTTTTTGAAGACGTTTCAATGCCTCTCAAGGAGTCATTGTCAACTCTGTTGGCTCGCACCACAGTTGTCCCCTGGACAGGTCAACAATCTGTCACAGGGCAACTCAGAAACACACAAAGAAATACAACCATGCACACACACACACACCTTAGGACAATTTAGAGATGCAAATCAGCATAACAGTCATGTTTTTGGACTTTGGGAGGAAGCCGGATTATCCGGAGAAAACCCACAAAACAGAACATCAAACAAACAGTAAACAGAACATGCAAACTCCATGCAGAAAGACCTGGTGCTGGGAATCAAATCTGGAAGCTTTTTTCTGCAAGACCACAATGCCACCATGCAGCCTTCATCTAAAACTTTTACAGGTCAATGTGCTCAACAAGTACTCCTGCAAATTAAAGCAACCTTTCTCAGAGACAAAGATACTCATTCATTAAAAAGGACCTTAAATATCACCAAAACATGACTTACCTATACAAAAACTTTAGTTCCAACACAAATGGGTTGTGTATTCATCCTTTAATTCACACAAAAACAGGGCACATGCATGAAGTTCAGACATCTATGATAATGTCAAAAGAAAACAACAATGGCCCACTGATATTTTTATTATCCAAACCTCTTATCAAAGACACTATACACAATATCTAACACAAACAGTGCTGTAAATTATGAAAATAGTTTTGCATGTTCCATTACTAAAGAGGAGGACCTTTGTATAACTAAACATAGGAAAATGTTTGTGGAAAAAATGACCATGTCTTGATACCTGTTCAGTGTACTGTAGAGCCTGGCTGTACAGTTGTTTATGTCCCCACACTTAAGATGAACAAAAACTATTTAAACATACTGATGTTCAGGATAAAATAAGGGAATATAAGCTTTCAAGATGGGTCATATTTACAAAAAATGAATTAATAATAATAATATAACATCACTGATCTCACAATGGATATGTTCACTTCTGTATCTTAACCTATCCCCTTGGGGAGCAGTGGGCTGCCACTGTGCAGCACCTGGGGAGCAATTGGGGATTAAGGGTCTTGCTCAGGGACCCAGAGTACAGGCTGTGGGGATCTAACCGGGTACTTGCAACCTTCTCGGAGCACAAGCACACTGCTCTAACCACTAGGCTGCCCACTTTCCTCTTGAAGAATAACTACAAACGCCAAGGATTTCAAGAGGTCGAGTCTAGATTAGAATTAGACAGATTTATTTTGTCATTTTGTATACACAAGTGTAAACAAAAAGAAATTTCATTTAGATAAGCACCAGTGCGCCTTGATAAGGTAAGCAGCAGTTGTTGCCAAGCTGCTCCTATTGCCTCCAGCTCCTGAAGCGCTCGCTTTTCCTGGCTCAGGGGAGGAAGAGCACAATGCTGATCACGCTCTAGATCGAGAGGTTTTTGGACAAGTTTGTCTCACTCCAAATCTGAGAGATCCAGGTGGGACATAGTTTCTTGCTCTGACAGATCGTACTATCATGAATCTGAGGGACGAACCCACAGGGGTTCTCCACGCAGGGAGAAAAGACGCCATGCTCCTGCGCCGAAAGAACCCGTTAAAGTTCAGACACAGGAAAACAAGGACTAGTGGCTCCAGCAGGTCGTCTAATAACTCCAGCTCACATAAGGCATCACAATCATCTTCCTACTCAAGATCTAGGAAATGTTCCAAATCTACGGAGTCTCCTCACTCCTCAGAGGTTGATAAAAGAACGCAATCGCCAAAGTCGGACAGGACTTCCTCAGCATTCCTCAGACTCTGATTCTAAGTAGAGGTGCTCTCCTGATTTGGAATCCAGTTTTGAGGTTTTTTTAATTTCTTTAAATACAAACAGCCCAAAATGAAAATGAGCTGGAATGAAACCAAACAATTTTTTGAAGTAGAAAGAACTAGAAAGTAGAGATAATTGTAAAAAAAAAAAAAAAGAAAAAGAAAAAATGCAAAAAGTAGAACTTAAAAGTTCGAAATAATTACTCCAGTAAAGTATGGATTGGTAAAATTTCTACTTAAGTATGTTAATAAAGTAATTGTACTTGGCACCTCTAGAAGCACGTTACTGGAGCTTCAGAATGTTTATCTGGTGTTCCTTGCAGCTCTTACTAGGGTGGATTCTCACGTTAGCTACAATAAACAATTAATTAACCTTCTGCTTGAAGCTACTTTCAGACATTAAATCATTTTTTTGAAATGGTCTGATATAACAGCCTGTACCAAGTGTGAGACCGCCAACCTTCCTGGATGATGTGGTTAATATGACCATTGCACCAGACTTTACACGTTGCCATTAGCAATTCTCCCTTTGTCATCCCCCTACTGTGGCTATTTTTAACTCTCCACCTTGCTCACCTGTTTCCCTCCCCCTTGATATAATAGTTGCCATTGTTAACCATGAAACAGTTCAAACCAAATACGTGATTGTAGCATCCAGTTAATACTGACAAGGCCAAAATTGGTGGTTAGATTATGATTTATTAAAGCCATTCATGTCATCAACCAACGTAAAAGCTACACAATAGCAGATAATAGTATTCATTTTGCCATCTATTTTCATGCATAGCTCATTATATCAGTGCATTTATTTCCATTAACACAACTATTGCATGTTTTCTTTTTAACATTTGAAAATACTTTGATTAAAGTAACAAACCTTGTTTGAAGTTCAGCTTCGATCGAATGAAGCTGAACTTTAAACCCTATAATCTTGATCTCATTACATATAAACAGAAGTGACTTTATGCAATGCTTAACATAGGTCATTTATGTTTGCATATGTGTATATACAGGCCTCATGAGGTGGAGCCTTGAATGCAAAACTTGAAGTACAGGTGTAATTTATGAAGGAAATTTCTTGGTTTTGTTTATGTGCAGGATTATATAAATCAAAATGTCTTTGGGCATTTTTATAAAGACTTCCCTGTTTACTACTGCTGAATCTCGAGGTTAATTTTCTTTTAAACCTATGTGTAAAAATGACCCTTCAGCACTCCTTGCCCTGCGTGTGTGACGTACTGGAATTACATGTGTTGTCCTTGGAGAACTTCAGAGCACTGAAGGAGACCTTGCTCCTCTCAACCGTTCTCTGACTCCTGCAGAGAAACGTGTTCTTCACGTGCTCCCTGAAGTCCTCAGAGATGAAGTAGTAAATAAAAGGGTCAATGCAGCTGTTGAGACTGGCGAGGCACAGGGTGGTGATATAAAACCCATACATGTTGTTCTCAGCTTCTAAAAGCAGGAGGGTATAGTGCACCAGTAGCATCATGTTACTCGGAGTAAAGCAGAGAAAAAACATGACCAGGACGGTGATGATTAAAACCACGGCTTTGCGACGCTTCTGGCCAATGGTAGAATCTCCCATATTGCTCCGCAGAGCCTTCAGCATAAGGATGTAGGATATGATGCATACAACTGCAGGGACTACAAACCCTAGTGTTCCCATTGTCAAAAAGTATCCAGCGGCAATTTTCTTTTGGCTGGGCCTGGTGACGTCATGGCAGGTCTTGATGTCCATGTTTCTTATGTATACTTCTTGATCATACAGGTAGAGAGGGATGGTGGTCAGCCATACCAACATCCATACCCCCACAGAGATGGAAACTGCTAAAACATTGCTCCTTTGCCTCTGGGACATTGGGTAGACTACAGCCCAGTAACGTTGCACACTAATGCAGGCGATGAACGCCATGGAGCAGTACATGTTGGCATAGAAGAACGCCACAAGCACTTTGCAAAGCCCATCACCGAAGATCCAGTTGTTACCTTTAAAATGGTACGCTATTTTCAAGGGTGTCCAAATGACATAAAGCAGGTCAGCAAGAGCCAGGTTGGCCATGTAGATGGATGAGGGGTGCCTTTTCTTGGTCCTAAAGAGGAATACCCATAAGGCCAGGGTATTGGTGGGTAACCCAATAGCAAACACGATGATGTAGATGGTAGGGAGGAAGACTGTTGTTAATGGGCCTTCCAGGGCTTCCATGGTTTGAGCGTTGACTGAATCACCTGCACCTGTCTCTCTGCTAGGGTAGCCGCACACCCGAATTATGTTTGTGAAGTTAACGTCTGAAAAAAATAAACAGATGAACAAACAATAGTTTAGTGGTTGTACTTAAGTGCTTCTAAAACCTTCACTTTTACACCTCATAGTGAGTTTTAACCACAAATGTCAGTGTACTTTATTGACATCTTATGAGCTAGAACAATACTAGTAAATTCATACATTTTAAATTCAACACATTTGAAAAATTAGACAAAGACAACCTGAGGATATATAAGACTAGTTTGAAATAATGATTTATTTTAGTCAGGGAAATAAAGCTTAACCTACCTGGACCACTTTGAAGAAGTAACTAACCTCTTAACAAGGTTGGTAAGGTTCTAGTTTGTTTGAGCTAAGCTATGCTTGGCAGCAGCAACCAACTTAAAAGGTTTGCAATAACTGGTCCTAAAGACGGCGCTGGGCAGTGGCTGGCCACTGTCTGATCTGGATGTAAGGAAGGATGACGAACCGTCCTTTAGGCTTAAATTAAAAAAGACCTTAAAAAGCAACCAAAAACCTCTTTAGATCATTCTTTATTTCATCCTTTGACCACATTATTTTCTCTACATTATATTACATTCTGAATGAAAAAAGCTTAATCTTTGTTGCACTTTTTCAACCTGTTTCACAACCACAACTAGTCCCTTATTAGTTTTTGCTACTTCAGGGTTTAACAAAACTTGTTTGAAAAAGGTGGATGACTTGTGATCATCTCTGGCATTGCAGAAGCCCAATTGGGGAAACCCAGAGTTCACTCCCCAAGAGGTGAGGGTGGACAGGCCTGAGGCTGTCCAAGGCAAAACAGGATCTTTGACGGAAGTGGACGAAGTGGGATCTCTGGCAAAAGGCACTTAAAGGAATAGTACACCCAAAACATGATTAGCCTTCATTTTCTACTCACCCCCATGCTGAACAACACTCTGGAGTACTTTTTTGATATCTCAAATGCATCTGGAGATCTGGGAGGCTTCTTGCTGTCTGCTGACATTCAAATAATGGAGGTCTATGGTACCCGAGACAGAAAGGTCCATAAAAGTCCACAAAAAACGTGTCAATATTCCTCCATACTGCTCGTCCAATGTATTCCAAGTGTCCTGAGTGGGTAGCATCCAGAATTTACTCGAAACGAAGTCATTTAGAATGTTTTTAGAGCATAAACAGTAGTGTATAGGATTTCCTGAAAGCGCGCACCTGCGCGATCACGACGCTACGGAAGCCGGCAGACCAAACCAGATGAAAGTGTGCATTCAGCGTCTGCTCTTCCAATAATGCAAGCGTAGAAGAAGAAATGTGCTGTTTACCTGTGCAAAGAAAGAAACAACGAAAGAAAAATGTCTGAGGACTTCAGTGTTGAGGAAGAGCATGAGTTCTTTGCCGAGCTGAATGCGCACTTTCATCTGGTTTGGTCTGCCGGCTTCTGTAGCGTCGTGATCGCGTATGTGCGCGCTTTCATCCTATACACTACTGTTTATGCTCTAAAAACATTCTAAATGACTTCGTTTCGAGTAAATTCTGGATGCTACCCACTCAGGAAACTTGGAATACATTGGACGAGCAGTATGGAGGAATATTGACACGTTTTTTGTGGACTTTTATGGACCTTTCTGTCTCGGGCGCCATAGACCTCCATTATTTGAATGTCAGCAGACAGCAAGAAGCCTCCCAGATCTCCAGATGCATTTGAGGTATCAAAAAAGTACTCCAGGGTGTTGTTCAGCATGGGGGTGAGTAGAAAATGAAGGCTAATCATGTTTTGGGTGTACTATTCCTTTAAGGTTCCAAAACAAAAGCAAACTGCATGATGAAAAAAGATCTCTTTTTTAAAAATGCTTCATGTAAAAGTTTCTGAATCCCCGTTACTGTGACATCATGTCTGCAGAATGTATGTGATAACTCCAAATTTGATGCCTCACACTGCCACAATGAGGCTACCATTTTATATATAGACAGTTTGGGGTTAAGATTAATTACCTGACAATAGAAAACTGAAATACAAATTAACCTTAACCATTATAATGAAAATATATTATAATTTGAGGACACCATAAAAAGAAAAAAAAAAGGATATTAGACCTGTCTCTGCAGTGCAAGACGTAAAAAAAAGTATTTCGTATAAAATGGTGCCATTTGTAACAGCATCATAATTGTTATTGCAGGTCCCCTCTCAGGCTTTTGTTTTACTTAAAGATGTTTTCTGTGATTTCTTCAAATACATCAAAGCCATTGGATTTTACAGTTAATTACGTTCCTCTTGTAGCCCTACATGCAGAGATTTACAGGTGGAAAATACATATATTAGGCTATCTGGCTGCTTCAATTCAATCGTCTGATTTCCAGAAAACATTTCTGTTCAAAACGTTTATAATTTTTTTAACAGAGCAGCTTGGTAAACTGCACAGATTAATCAACAAACAACAGTGAAATATATAAAGCCAGAGTTTTCTTCAGAAATACAGTATGAGCTAATAGGGGAAGAATTGTGAGCCGACTTATGAAATATGTACGAAGTTGGGAACAGGAAACAGGTTTATGTTCCAGAACTCTCTATCACATAAACCACTAACAGATTACAGGCAGTCGCGGTCTGTAAAAAAGAAGAAAAAAAAAAGAAATTTCTTTCAAACAGAACAGCTGAACCATTTAACTTAAATAAACAGGGTGTCGTGGGGAAAAAGTATTCAACTTTTCATCCTAGTTAAATAAACGGAGATCGATAGATTTCACTCAGTCGGCACATTTATTAATATCTTTGCAAAGAGAGAACAGTCATCATGAAGCCCTAATGGCACAGCATTCTGCTCTGTTCTGATCTGGGCAGCGTTCGTTCCCCCCACTTACAACAATGGAAAGTAGTCAGAGTCATAACAAATTACACACACTTTGGTTAACAGTAACATGTGATGAATAAACCTTGAGAAAGAATCTGATTTGTTATGGGAAAAAGCTATGACTAGTCTACAAACACCAGCCTGTTGAGAAATGTGTGGCCTTGAGAGAGAAACAGACTGAGTGAAAACTTTTATAGTGAGTAAATAGGATAAATTAATATATAATAGAAGAAAGATAAAAATTTTCCGACAACAGTCCACCCTTTCGATTATAAAAGGATATTATCCTTGTGTAATCGATATTATAAAAAAAGGAAAATTTATGAATATAAGAAAACTAAGAAACTAGAATTGTAAGTATATGTAAAAAAGCTAAAAACTACAAAACTAAAATTGTGAATAAATGTAGAAAAGCTAAAAACTAAAAAAACTAAAAATCAAAACTAAAATAAAAAAAAATCAAAAATCCATAACTGCAATAAGTCGGAGGACAATGTTAAATGATTATAATAGATGCAAAAGATTATGATAGCTAAAATATGTTGCCAATACAAAGAGCCCTGGAATCACATCTTAGTTGGCAAAAATATTTACTCTTTTTCCCCATGATGATACTTTTTATGGTAAAATATCTATTTGCTGAAAATGTAAATTTTTAGTTCTTATCATTATCAGTTACCCTTTTGTTTCCCTGGAAAGAGAAAAGTTCAAATTAGTCAAAACAATAGACTCCTTCATCTCTATGAAGTGTAAGTCAAATTATTAATCTGAGTTTCATTAAAAGTTAAAAAAAGGATCAATCTCTATGCAAAATGTTAAAATCATAACACAAAGATGTTTCACGCAGATGACGAGTTCAGCTCTTCAGAATCAGGGTCAGTCAAAGCACACATTGAAAAGTTGGAGGATTTAATCTCAGCGCTCCTCTTTCCCAATGGTGGCTGAGATGACCAGATCTTCAGAGTTCATTCTCTAATCCAGAAATCTCTGCCAATACTTTCCATCAGCCATCAGGTGCTCATATAATAGTTGGACTTTCTTTTGTATTAAGAAACTAATAAAAAAAACACTCAGATACCAAAAATGTTCACCTTTCATTAAAATATAACACATTACAACACATTTCCCTTCTCATTCATGTTGTATAATTAAAAAATCAATAAGCCAAAGCTGATGTCAGACATCTTCAGGTGGGCGTCTTCATCTTTCTGTTGATGTTGGTCCCTATGCAGGAACGTGGTCTGCAGAGCAGCTGGTCCTCAACACATCAGGTGGACTACTGATGTGTTAATTAACCAATCAGAGGGGATTATTCTGCCCCTTTATTCTGATTTGCTTTGTTGAAGTTCGTCCAGGTTCCTTCCTGATGAGCTCCGATGAGCTCTGATCACTTTCTTTTGATGACTTTGAGCCACACCTCCTCGTGCTGAAGGATGGAAGGACGGCTGAGATGGTCCTCCATCAGGGTCTCCAGGCACCTTGGGATGTGTTATGAAACTCTAAATGTCATGATTACACATTGCTTCTATAAGAACACTCCACCCTTCCTGGCATATTGAGGCATACAGAAATTGAAGAATGAAAAAGAAAAAATAATAGAGTGAAAGAAATAAATGGAGTGAAAAATACAACAGTTAAAAAATTATGCATATACTGAAATAAATAAATTTGAAAAATAGGTACCTAAAAGATAAAGCTGCAAGCCATTGATTACAAAGAATTATTACAAAGGTGAAAAAAGGTAAACCATGCCTCATTTGCCAGTTAAATTAGATTTATTTTTATTGCATGATTTAATTACTGCTTATATATATATATTTTTTTGTATTTTTAGTTGATTTAAGTGTTTTTCTATGTATTTTTCTGTTGAGTATGGGCAACTATCAGTCATACTATCCAAAAAATCTACACTTTATGGAAGGGAGGCTAGAATTAGTTGTCAATAAAGAAAGCCATTCTAAAAGTTAATTTATCTTTAGTCGGGAATGGGAGAGAGATTTGCCTTCTGACAGGACAATGAATCAGAGGTGTTTCTAATATTTTCAAGTAATGCTGCTCTTATGCTGACACACATACATTATCAGAGGGTTGCCATTTGTAGTACGTCAAAAATTTGCACCCATTTGTTTGTTTATCAGGCCTTTCCCCGGAGAAAGAAAAGGGTAGTTAATTTTTTTAAACTTGTATTTTCACCATGCAATGTGCAATGTGTTATGCGTTTACTAATGTCAAATTGAAAGACTTAATATTTAAATAACAAGTTCAACATGTTGGACAATGAAGGGATTTTCTATTCTATTTTTTATTAAGTTCAAAAAATAAATATTTAGTTTGTTTAACAAAGACTTAAATATTCACTTAAAAGCTAAGGCTTTGCTTGATAATTAAATATTTAATTGAAACTAAATATTTGATCTGTAAATGAAATCTTTATAACATTTCATTTGTAAATGAAATATTTAGCTTGTCGCGACCCCAGCTGGGATAAAGCATTGTGGAAAATGGAATGGAATATTTAGCTTGCTATATATAGACATTTTTTTTCTAGTATTATTAAGTCTGCTCTTCATTATCCCCTGAAAAAAATATATAATACAATCTAAGAACACATTTAAAAAGATAAATCTGGCAAAATGCAAACTGTAAACTTTTGAGTGAGAAGTTCTTAGTAGAAGTAAAAGTATTAATGTTGAAAAAAAACGTCTTCATACTTCAAAAAGAGAATACAGCTCCAACTTCAACAAACTTTTTTTATTTCTGACAAGCAATTGAATAAAGTTTGTCCAGCTTCATTTATTTAGTTTATAAGACACAATCACAATTCTCTTTTTAGAGTGCAATTTGAGTCCTATTTGGAAACATGTTCATTGCTTTCAATAGATAGATAATCTTCAACCAATAAATCTGCATAATTCAGCTGAATTGACTAAGTAAAGCGTCTTGTGAGGACATCCATTGCGAAATTCTTTTTGTAATTTAATCTTAATTAAATTGAATTGAAACCCTTGCCTCTAAAAAAAAAAACAAAAAAAACAATAAGTTCTGCACAATATATTAGTGGAATTCAAAATAAATAAAAAGACAAACTTCCATATTATAAAAACATATTATAAAGGTGAGTTAGTGGTTGGTTGTAAGAATCAGCTTTTTTCACTTGCAGCTTATTGTAACATCCTTGTTTATGTAAGGCTAATCAAACTCACGTTTTATTGAGATAATGACAAACCTAAAGGAAGGAAAAAGAAAACTATACCTTCGTTCATCAGACATGTCTGCATTGCAGAGAAAAGCAGGATAAGCTGAAAAAATCCCTTCTTCAAAGACATCACCATTAAATCAGGTAAAAATCTTGACTATAGAAAATGAGAATGAGCATGGTCTGCGCTCAATGCACATTGGTGTGCTTGTGATAGGATCTGATTAAACTATGGGCGTTATGTTTGGATAAGAACACATTCTTAAGGCAGTTGTTTACAAAGAGAGTTCATAAAAGGCAATGAATACTTCCCTGACTAACACAAGCAGCAGTCTGATGAGCCATTTATGGGGTGTGCTCTCTGCAGCTGTCCAAGTAGGAGCTTTAGTCATTGTTCCTTCATCTGGCGTTAGGCTGATATAAAACATTTAGATGTTAAATGATGTAAACTTAAGGAAAATATTAATACAAAACTATGTAAAACACCAAACAGGTGATTCGGTGCTTTGAACTAGCAATAGATTCTGCATTGGAATATCAACCAAACTTGTGTGTCTAATCAACATAATTTTATGTAATTTCAATTTCCTGCTATTTTATTGTTAAGATCTGCTGATTTGAAAAACAAAATGGCAACATTAAGCCGATAAAACTACCTGGTGTTGATTCAGAGTGCCTCTATGTCATAATACCAGCTAATTGGCTTTGATTCTCCTGGATATTTGCACCAATCTGAACCGATATGGGTTTAAAGTATTCAAATGTTAAACTAAGCCTGTAACAATCAGGGTGTTTGCTGAGGATGACTTCAGTAAGATATTTTTCAAACTGGCGCTGTGAAACATGGGGCAGTTTTGGTCCTGCAATCCTGTCTTAATGCCTTCTCATTCCTGCAGGTGTTCAGCTGGTGATTGATAGGCAAGTATTCTCTCTTTTTCTGCTTTGCAGGGGGGCTGCAGGCTAAGCTTTTTTGTTTTAATAGCAAGACGATGAACGTGTGCTCAATGTTTGATTCTCAATGTCCAATTTTCTTGTCGGCTTTTTGTGTTTACCATAATTACGATATCATATGAAGGTACAGTGAGAGCTAAACCTTGTTGTCCACAAATGCACTTCTGGAAGTATATTCCAAAATTCCCATAAACACACTCCTAAAGCTTGTTGGCAGCCGTCCCCTAAAGAGCTGAAGCTGTTCTAACTTCAAATGTTGGAACAACATCATATTGAACCTCTGTACATTAGGTATGGGATGTCATGTAAACTCTTATCTGAGTCAAGGCAGGTGAGCGAATACTTGTGACCATAAAGTTTATATACTTGGCTGTCATCTGATACATGATGTAACAGTGGACTGTGCTTTTAGTCAGATTGTTGTGTAAAAACTGACAGCCATTTAAGATTAATTGTACTCCTATGCTGTAATTTTTTACTTGTGATATTAATTTTTACTTATAACTGAAGCTTGGGTGCATTTCAATGCTCAGTTTATAATGGTAAACTATCCTGACAGATCTAAAGCTTGTCAGAGTAGAGACCATGGAAATGTAAGGGTTTACAAACTTTACAAATAGATTTAAGGCTGCTTTTGATCCTTCGTTTTGGTGGTAAGAAAAAAAAATGCTGTACATGTGACAACAAAGAAAAGTACATTGCAGCGGCATAAGAAAGACAATTATACAGTGTAAAAAAATTAAATGATTGAGGCAAAGTAAAAATAAATGATTAAGAAAATGGATTTAAAGTTTGACTGGGAAATGAACTAGTAATGTTTAGATGACACAGTAAAAGGCCCTTTTAAATAAATGTGTTTTTTAATTTAAAGCAACTAAGCTTTAAATTAAAAACACAACTGAGCTGAACTTCTTTCTTTTTATGCAAAGTATATCTTAACTAAAAGACCTGAGAGGTCTAGCGGATACACGGACAATAAGTTTGTAATGTATTTTGGAGCTAAACCATTACTTATTTAAATACTAAGTATTTAAAGTCTATTCTCTAAGAGTCAGGGAGCAAAAGTAATAACAGGCATAAGATTTAAAACCATTTCAGTTTCCTTTGCAATTAGTGCAATCTTCAGTGCTGCTGGTAATGCCAAGACATATATACAAATTAAACAGATTCAGTGACTTATTACTCCTGTTCAGTGAGGAGCAAGTGGCTCTTTTTCATGTTTTTGTTCAATCATTACAGGTAATATGTTACATTGTCAAGTTTTATTGTGATTTGTGATAGTGCAGACAATATGATAGGCTAAGTACTGTCTTCTTTCCCAGATATTACTTGCAGTTGTCTTATTGATTTTCAATGATAATCGCTACCTTGATTAAATTTGTGCATCTTTAAGTTGTCAATTTCAAATTTTCACCAAAAAACTTGTCTTGCACATGTATTGTACTGTGTTTTTTACTGCAAAATATGGGCAGCTGTGGTTGCCAGGAATTGACAGTGAAATTTAGCTGGTAGAATTAAAATGTTACAATTTTACAGTGTTTTAATTTTTTTTTGTTAACTTAGCCTTTAAAAAGTTTTACCACATTGCAGTTGTTTTAAAAGTTTTTTGCTGTGATGTTTTTTTTCCACATTGTAAAATAAACAAGGAATTACTGTATAAAGAACTGTAATGTATCTGTTGTTTTACAGCAGATATATGTAAAAATCTATGGACAGGGTTTTTCGTGGCAACCACAGCTGCAAATAACTTTTGTGCAAATGTGAATCAGAGGACTTAAGGAGTATAACTTGGTTAAATGTGTCTCACGTATGAAAGGTTTAAAGGAATGTTTGTGTGTTCGTTATGAGGAACTCAGAGCTGCATTTAAGGAGAAGCAGCCTTAGGTCTATGAATGGAGGCCTGGTTGATTTAAGCTTTAAGCTTACACCACCTACAGACAAAACCGAGAAACAGTTTCAACACTTTAAAAGTGTCCTGGGACAAAGAGAGAGCTGTTATTCACTATAGAGAAATTAGTTTTAAGTTTTTGTTTTCAGGAATTTTGCCAATGTGCCTCATTCATTCTCATATTTTGAACAATATGTGAACCAGAAAATAGATTTCATTAAAGGTCTTTCTGATGAAAAGTCATAACAGCATCATTACATGGAAGCATTTCAGTGAATTGTGAAGTATTTTTTTGTTTTTATAAAAATGTAACTAATAATTTATAGCTGAAAAAACGTTTCAAAATCATCTTAGAAAATGTTTTATTACATTAAAAGACAACAATATTAAGACAGAAACCTCAATAAGGTAAAAACAATACATCCATGTACAGTATTCCTTCCTTGGTGCCATGAAAGCCCTCAGCCTGTGGCTCTGCTGAGTTTTTATAAGTTCAGGTTTGCTTTAATTCTTGGCTTTTCCGTTTTTCTCTCATCTTCTTCTGGACAATAACCGAAAATCTGCAGGGTTTAGATCAGAGCTAGTTTGCTAGCCTATAATTATTTTTATCAATAAAGCTGTCTATTAAAGCAAATGTTTAGCAATGTGTGGAGCCGCTGAGTGTCCAGAATTTGTTTAACCCTTTGTACTATTTACATTATTTTCTCATATTCCCTTTGTTTTATGCTTGTATATGCTTAAAACATTAACTTGATTATATTTTTGCATTGAATATGTTGTGTGTGTTCATTTTCTATACCCACTTATCTTTCCAGGGTTGCTGGCTCCCGTCACCTGAATGATCATTGTGCAAGAGGGACAAAATTAAGAGTTTTATATTTGTTTCATTCCATTGGAGGCTTAGAAATTGTATTTTTACTTTATTTTCAATTGTTATTCACTACAAATAAAAATCTGACCAGAATGGATCATTCAATTTATTGTTCATTCGGAATTTCCAAGTGAACGAGAGTATGCCTCTTGAAAAACAAATGTTTATTTCTTTGGTTTCTCTAAAGGGGTGAGGTTATTAATACATCTCCTTCTAAATATTGTTTTAAATGCTGTTAAACCAAAGTCACAGCTAATCCGTTCTGCGATATTGGCGTGCATTGATACTTAGTTTTGCTCAGTATTTGGACATAATTAACCCAAGTTAGGTGAGTGGGGGGAAAAAAAAAAGTTTGCCTGGCTTCATTTTCTATTCAAAACTACCTTCTTGTTTTAAACTTTCCAGCTATTAACAATTTTCTGACTTTAATTTTTTAACAATGGCTTTTACATATTTTAATCAAAGTCATATTGAGATATTTTACATAGATTTATTGGAGTACTATGCACTTCTAAGGAACTGTTCTAGACAATGGGATGGGAGCATTAAAGGAAAAGGTGGGAATTATCAACCAACATATTTGACCAGCAGGTGGCAGGACTGAGCCATTTTCCGTTTTGTTTTGTTTTTTAAGGTAAAGCTTTTTAATGGAAATATTTTGTATTTGATCAATTATGGACTTTCAAAACAAGACAATGTTGAGTCTAAAATATTTATTAAGAGACACAAAAAACAAAAATCTATACATGCATATTAAAAAGAAAAAAGTGTACATTTCTGAAAAGATAAAAACTCAAGGCTGATATCTTTGCACTGTTCCTTAAACTAGACTCATCTTAAAAACTAAATACACAAAAATAAAGCATTAAATGCAACAGCCTGTTTACAAACTTAAAGAAATAGTAAAATTGTATGTACAAAAGTGAATGTCGAGTGCAAAAGGTAAAGCGTATCATTCTAAAGATTTAGCTCTATAAATGTCACAGATATTACATCTGCATGTGTAGCTTTCTCCTCCTGAAACCTCAAGTGTTTCTAGTAGTACAAGAAGTTTGTTTACCTGCCATTTAAGTAAATAACTTTCTACTGGCAGCTCAACAAGAAGTGCTAATTTTATACTTTAACTTTACATCTTTCTGTACAGGTGAGATTCAGTTATTAGGGCTCACAAACTGATCATATCACCGATCAGACCAGCAGCTTCTTGTACTGGCTGTCTAGGTTTGCTTCCAACGAGCTTGTTTTGCTTATTGACGAGGTTATTTTGGAGGATTCAGTGCAGCTGGATTTCAGAATGGGTCTGATGCTGGACCTGCAGGAGTCAGACGATGCATGGGTGATGCTTCCACTCCTCTTCAACTTTCCACACTTCAGCATGTTAGACAGCTGTCTCTGACACTGGGAAGAGCCGAAGTAGTAGGCGAGAGGATCCAGAAGGCAGTTCAGGCTGCCCAAACACAGAAACATCAAGTAGAGTCCGTAGAAGCCGTCTTGGGCCTCGCTGACGTCCTTGAGTTCCTTATTAAGCATAAAGTAGTGTGCTAGCAGGAGGCAGTTTGTAGGCATGAAGCACAGCACAAAAATCACCAACACCGTCAAGGCCATCATCACTGCTCTCGTTTTTTTGCGTATACTTCCTGTAAGCCCGTGTGGCACTCTGCTCAGTGTCCAGATAACTTTTGTGTAAGAGCCCACCGTGACAATAAAAGGCAGGAAGAATAGGGAGAAAAAGACGGCAATGAAATACATCTTCAACCAGAAAATCCGCCCAAAGTGTTGGACGTCATGGCAGGTGATGATGTTCAACTGCGGGAGGTAAGCGGTCTGGTCGGAGGTGACGAGAGGCACAGAGGCAGCGAACGACAGGACCCACATGGTCACACAGGCTATGATGGCGCTCTTTGGCTTCCTCCAAGTCAGAGATTCGATGGGGTAGACAACTGCAAGAAAGCGGTCTACGCTGATGCAGGCTATGAGAAGGACAGAACAGTACATGTTCCAGTAAAAGCTGGCGGTGACCACTTGGCACAGGTACGGGCCGAATATCCAGTTGTTGCCCCAGAAGTGGTAGATTATCTTGAAGGGAAGCATGAGGCCGAAGAGCAAATCGGCACAGGCCAGGTTCAGCATGTATATCGCTGCGGGCTTCTTGGGACAGATCCCCCGAGCGAAGGCAAGCACAGCGCAGAGGTTGATGGGCACACTGATGCAGCACACCAAGGTGTAGAAAGAAGGCATGATCAACGTGGAAACAGGACCAGTCAGGAATTGAAACGCTTCTTCAGAAAGATAAAGTCTCAATTCTGTTCTGTTCTGTACTGTACGGTTTTGTGGAAGGTCCGGTTTCCCATCTCCATCTATATAATCGGTTGGCAAAGGTATTGGCTCATCTGTGAAAGGACCAGGACCAAGGATAAAGGTTCGTGGTCCCGTGGCTGAAGAAAGAAAGAAAAAAAAAAAAAAAAACAAAAAGGCACAAAAAACTGTACAAAAAAAAAAAAAAAAAATATACAAAACACTCCAAAAAGACACACACAAAAAAAAAAAAAAGAAAAAAACACAGAGAAAAGTACATTGCTTAGAAGGAAGAAAATGATACGGGAAATGAAAATTAATAATCTAAATGATAAAATCATTATGCTGGCAAAGAATTTTGGGCAATAAAGTAAAATTTTTTTACTAAATTAGTGGAACTAAAAGCTGGTCCTGCATTTTTGGTTCTAGGTATGCAGATAAGCTTGTGGTTGATATAAAATAAAATGCTTAAGTAGTAATAATTTTTTTTTAAGAATAATAGGTCTCAACTGAACATAAATTGTTTAATAATCAACAAAAGATTCAGAGGCATTTAGGGAAATTAGTTTCCTAACACATTGCTAATAATGTTTTCAGACAAAATTACAGTTGGTCGTATGTGATTTTACAGTAGGTCCTTTCACATTGGTCTAGATCAGGGGTCCCCAAACTTTTTAAGAGCTGGAGGATTCAGCGTTAACCTGAACTTAAAACATAGTAAAAAAAATTTTATAGTTTCATTTTAATTTCCAATTTTTTTTTAGAAACTCTTATTTTGAAATCTCTAAAAATGCCAAAATGTCCTATATGAATAATATGATGAAATGATCTGTAATTGTTTACTAAAGAATGGCAACATAATCAAATTTCAAACTCAGCTCACTGGTGAGTTGTTCTGTTTACAGAAGATGCTGAGGGCACCCCATGTGGTCCTTGAGGGCCCCATGGTGCCCGCAGGCAAGGCGTTGGCGACCCCTGGTTTAGATGAAGGATGTCAGATCAGTTCTTTAGCGCTGCTTTCCTGCACCTTTTCAAACCACCTCTGTTTTAAAACGCCTGAATAAAATAATTAGGTTCCTTTGCATACTGACCATGATGGATATGAGTTTGGCATGATTTTGATTTTAAACATGTTTTGCTGTTTTCTTCTTGACACATTTTCATGCAGAAGCACTTTAAGGCTTAGCCACTAGTTAGAGCTTCTGGCAAATTCTCTCACCATGGTGCTGCTCATCTCACCGTATCACCTTTATGGGAGGAGTCTTTCAGGTGATCTAATAAATGTTTTGTCTACAGATGAAAGTTTTTCAAATCAATAAAACTGATGGATATAAAGAACATGATACTACACGGTTTGCAAACAGACATAGTGGTGTTTCAGTGCCTGATGGATGACGGTCTTCTAGGACACGGGTTCTATCACAAGTGGCTCTTTACACTAGTAGTTCCCAACTCCAGTCCTCCAGGAACCCCTGCTCAGTGCTTTTCCAGCACATCTGATTTTAATAATTATATCACCAAGGGCTGCAGAATTCTTTGAATGACTCATTTATGTGTCACCGAGGAGACACCTAAAACATGCAGGACACGGGGATTTCAGGAACAGGATTATGAACCATTGCTTTAGACCTTTTTTTATTCATAACTTTGGTCAAAAATAAATAACCAACTGGTTTTATTTAATTTTATTTTTTTTAAATAGTTTTTAAATGGAATAATTGTACAATATTTCTTAAACAGAATGACAAAAAAGTAATACCTTTTAGACTAAGATAAAAAAAAAAATAAAGTTCAAATGCTCTAGAGCTGACGTTCCCAAACATTTTAGTCAGTGTCTCTAAAAAAACAACCAAAGACCCCAAAATAAATGGAGTAACTTGATGGCAAGTTAATTATATTTGCTTTTTTCAAATAGTTTTTTTTTTATGAAATTACTTTATTCTACAATTTAACTGTATTTTTAATGATTAATTGATTTTATTAATCAATTGTGCATTTTACATTTTAATGACGCATTAAATGTTTAACATGGGGGAACCGCATCAATTCTTGTAAAAACTTTCTCACAACCCCAGATTTTAGGAACCTCTGCTCTTGAAGGTGTTGTCAAACTCAGAATCAAATACGCTCATTATCATGTTCAGCTGCAGAAATTAAACTTTTAATTTAATCCTTTCATTTACAAAGAGCACACAGTTCTTCAATGATGAATTTACTCCCATTTTGCATTTTTATAGCCTCTGTAAACTTTAAAGGAACATAAACATTTAGATCTTTTTTGTTTCTAAGGGGTCCAAAAAATTGCAGTTTGATGAAACCTATTCATCAAACAAAAGTTTATTTTAAATCTAAATTCTAATTCATTAATTTGAAATTTAAACTAATAGCCTGTATTTTTTAAAATTGAAGCCATCTTATAACGTAAAAATCTGGACTAAAGGACAAAAAAAAACAAAACAAAACAAAAAAACAGTTCTTGGACTGCAGATCCCCGACCAAGGGCCACATTCAGTCTTGGAGCGGCCCTGCTCTAATATTAAATACCAAAGGAGGAAAAAAAAATTACCGATTTAAACAGTGGAGTAGTTTTAATTTGCTTAAGGAGACTGGTTCCTACAACTGTTTTATTGTTGTTTATTAATCTTTTAAGCAAATAGACGCCAACAAACTAAATACGTTTAACTTTAGTAGAAAACAAACTTTTCTTACCGTTACTTTTTGAAGGCAACGCAGCAGCAGCAGAAAGGAGATAAACAAGAACCCAAAAAGCAGATTTTATTTCCAAGGAAAACATTTTGCTGCTGAATTCCTCAAAGTGAACCTAAACGCCAAACCAGGCTCCAGTTAATGATCGTTCCCGGCGCTCTGCGCTCATTTCCTCGGTGCGTTATCGCTCTCTCTTAATGCTGCAGACGTGTTTAGTTTCCGCCCCAAAGTCCGTCCGGTCCAGAACGCCCTCTGTCCCAACACACATTCCTTTCTAATGATGTCACCTTTCCCGGAACATAACAAAACTCAGAAGAGAACGGAGCCATTAACAAGACCAAACAAATAATGAAGAAATAAATAAGGCCATTTTCCCCTAAACGCCCTGCTAATTTTAAGGCATTATAACCACAAACTTAGAGCTACTTTGTGTTGGTAAGTGTAGAATATATATATATATATATTTTTTTTTGTTGTTCCTTTAAGGAAGGACACAGAGCTCCAAAGAGAGAATTTTTAATAGGTTTTCTGGCTATGCACAAAAAAAATGGAAAATAGTCAAGCAGAAGTCAGAAATATGTTTTAGATACAGCTTATAGTCCAGTCAAAAGCCGAGCCTCAATGCAATACAGAATCTGAGATAGTTTTTATTTGTAAAGAAATAATAAAAAGCTGCATATCATCTTCCAGGCATATGTCCCTCTGTTAGAGAAAGCTCTGTGTTTTCACATTAAACTCATATGGAAATCATATTTAAATGTCAAATCATTCTGGATTAAACATGTATATAAATTATATTGTCCCAAAATTTAGAAAATTTCTATAAAAAAAAATCCTGTCTTAAAATCTGTGTTTTTTTTTCTTCGTTATCTTATGCGGGCCATTAGTTTTACATCAACCTGAACATCTAAATTCGGCCAATCATATATCAACGGTCATCTGTCAATCAAATTTTTTAGGTCATAGCATCTTGATTCATACGTCGCAGCTAATATATGCCATGGTTGAAATAAGAAATAAGAATCAAATCCTTTCCCATTGAGTTCCGTCCCAGTGTTCACGGGGATGGACGTCTGTGTCTTCAGCAGGCGTAGAGCTAACAGAACTGGCAGTGTTGCGAGGCAAGGGCTCAAACATGTACGGCTGGAAGCCTTCTACACCAAACCAAGCTTCTGCTGCCCTGGCATCCTCTTCCACATCTTTGTCCTCGCTTTCCTCCTCTAAATAAAAAATGTATGACGGAGGAGACTCATCCACGACCTCCGACACTAAACTCTCCTCCTCTTGCATGTTTCCTCTGTCCATAGCGTTCCTTGACAGTGTCGTTTCTAAGTCACCAATTTAGTGCTACTTGATCCCAATGGAATTTCCCATTGGGAACCTACTAGCACTAAGTTGCTAATTGGTTAGCAAGATGCTTCCGACAAACCGGCCACAATCAAACATGCTTGCGAACCTTCCTCCACAACAATCCCACCCTCTTGATAAAGGACCAATCACGTTCACTTTATTCGTTCATGTAAAGTCGGGCACCACTCAGGAGAATTCGGAAATTCAACGGTTAGAACGGCTGTTTACCTATGACTTTAAAACTTTCTCTCTGTGGTTCTTATTCCTGGGAAAAGATCACTTGGGGGAAAAAACTTTAAAAAACACTTCGTAATGTTTATGTATTAAATAACCAGGCAGTGGCGGGTTTAGGAAATTTATAAAAAGGTGACAGCAAAAGTAAATAACCCAGTCCTTCTGTTCTCTGTAGACAAGCCATGATCTCCTTATCTGATCTCGATTTTTCATTTGGATGAAATAATAGCTGCATGAATCATGACAGCAGACAAGATAGAGGACAGCAGGAGGCAGGGTTACCAATCTACTTGCTCTGGAGAGCAGAGTTCGTTGCTTTTATATGTTGTCACCAAAGTCTCCAGTAGCAGAAAAAAGTAGCTTCATTTGGCACTAGGTTTTTTTTCTGAAATAAGAGTGCTAGAACGGTGTGAAAAGTTCCTAAATATAGCGACAAATGTGCTAAGTTGCAACAATGCTCTTTACACCGATTATTATCGGATGGTTTGCTGCTCTCTGTTTGGACCTTTCTGAAGATGTGCAGCAAATGGACTGATCCAATGTGGTGGGCACTGGGGGGCTGAGACACACTTAATATTATAAGTCTTGTGATGGCTTTTTAGCAAATAATAAAAAAAAATTAATCTGCACAAATAAGGAATAGTTTTATTAACCACACATGTCATAAAACAGAGTTTTATGGGGACCCCAGGAACTTGGGGCCCTAGCCAACTGCCTAGTATTGCCTAATGGTAAATCCTCCCCTGTAACCAGGAAACATGACAACAGATTTTGCTACAAAATATTAATCTGACTCAGATCAGAGAAGTTGCGTAGAATTACAGAAAGCAGCTGCTTACCAACCAGGCTCACATCTCGTGAAGTGACCACAATTCACATAGAGAAGCATTTTATATAATTCTGGTATGCCACATCATTCCATCATTAAAACATACACATATGCAGATGAGGAGACATCAATGGCTCCAGCCGTATCAAAATATTACACTTTGTTTTTAGATAAAGAACACCACTCTCTTTCCATTTCATTTTTATGTATGATTCATCATGATATGTCACGTATCAGTATCAATATCGGTACCAGCCAATATTTGAAGCTGTGATATCAATGCAATTCAATTCAGTTTATTTATATAGCGCCAATTCACAACACATGTCATCTCAAGGCACTTTACAGTTCCCCAGATCTTACAATCAAATTGATTCAAAGTTTTATATTTAAGGAAAGCAATCCCTCACACTAAGCGTGCTTGTAGCGACAGTGGAGAGAAAAAATTCAGATTTAACAGGAAGAAACCTCCAGCAGAACCAGGCTCAGTGTGAGCGGCCATCTGCCAAGTCCGACTGGGGTTCAAGGAGACAGAAGAAAACATACAGAAAGAAGCAGAGAAACAAGAAAAGATACTGTAAAATGCTGACCCGTCTAGGAAACACACAGCCAGGCAGACGTGCTCCCATTCAGCTCTGATGTCAGAGTAAGAACATCCAACCAGTCACAGTCAGAGAAACAGGACTACACTGAAAAGCAGGCAGATCTTGAACATCTATAAAGAAATGTGTAGATGGAAGCAGCACAGCTGATATTTCTCTCTAGGATGGAGTCACAGCCAAACAGGAACAGATAAGGCAAAGCTACTCTGAGAAAAAGCAGAGCGAGCATAATGTTAGAGATTGAACTAACAGATTCTGCAGAGTGGAAAAATAGAGATGGTATGAAGCATCCAGAAGTCCTCCAGAATTCATCGCCTTTAGCAGCATAACTATAGAGATAGCTCAGGATAACCTGAGCCACTCTAACTATAAGCTTTATCAAAAAGGAAAGTTTTAAGCCTAGCCTTAAAAGTAGACAGGATTTCTGCCTCACGGACTAAAACTGGTAGTTGGTTCCACAGGAGATGAGCCTGATAACTAAAAGATCTGCCTCCCATTCTACTTTTAGAAATTCTAGGAACCACTAGTAAACCTGCAGATTGAGAGCAAAGTGCTCTGTTAGGAACATAAGGAACAATCAGATCTCTGATACAAGATGGAAATTGGCCATTTAAGGCTTTATATATTAATATCATATTGGATATCAATATCGTATCGGAATTTTAAAAGTTGTATTGAAGCAAATACTTTAAAATGTTCTTTATGCTTGTATAAAGGACTGCGCGTCTCCTGAAAAAAAAGTGCCGCATGTTTTCTTGATCTATTTCACCATTAATCAGGACCTCCTGACCTTGCATCAGCAGGATTTTAAGTGCATTCTCTCACTGTGGTTGCAACACTATCCGAGATCATTAATATTAAATTAGCAGAGCATACTGTGGGTCCTGCTTATGTTTTGTTCCCAATTAAAAAGTTCAAGATGCTGATAGTGGAGTAAAACACCATTTATGGTGTTTTTAAAAACCAATTATACATCTTTGAAAGAGGTTTTCCTCTAGTTTAGGAAATTAAGTTTAACACATATTTAGCAGGTAATCTCATATACTTTTCTAAATCCAGATTACATCTCTTCAGACTTGATTTCTGCCTTCAGCCCTCTGATTTGCAGATCAAAACCCGTCATTAGATCCATTTGGGTTTGGACTGAAGCATTACTTTAAGTTTAAGCAAGAGAGTTCTCAAAAAGAACGCTTATCTGGAATAATAAACTTCTTTGTATTTCTCCAGAATGAAGTGAAAATAAGGAATTCAGCAGGCAAAGAACTTGCGTAAGCAGGATGTCGAGAGGCACTACAATTACAACAACCCATGTAAAATGTGGAAAGACATCAGGGCTATCATGGATTATTCTTTCGCTTTGACTCTCCAAGCATTAGAGAGACTGAACATTTAAAATCAGAAACGCAGAGCAAAATTATTCATAAATGGACAAATCCGTGAGCAAAAAAGGTAGAAGCATAGTAGGATTGAAAGAATATCAAGGTTTCTGACAAATGATAACCACACATTTAATGCAATCTCTTACTTCATCTGTGATGCCTCTGATACACAAAGCAGCTCACTTTACACTTAGATGTGCCTTTAGAAGAAACATCAACAGATTGTTTTGGTAAATGTTGAATTTAGATTTTTATTTTTTAAATATTGAAGCTAAAATTAGATCTATTCTAAATGGCTTTTCAGTACCAATGTGCATCATAATCAAACTAGATATGCAATTAAAATTAGACAATTCAAAGTTCATATAAGATGTTTGAAAATATCCACCTAATACTGAATTATGCATACAATGAACAAATTAGCTAATTAAATTCAAAATTTCCTCAGCTAAAATGTACAATTTAGACACATATGAATTAAAGAAAAGAAAATGTTTTATTGTGAAACTCATTCAATCCCATAATATTTCATATTGATTGTATTTGTGAGATATACGAATGTATTTAAATTTATGTAATTTTTGTACAAAAGGTATTTTAAACAATAATGTTAAGGTTTTTGAGCTATGAATTTTATGCCTTTTTTTTCTTGTTGTTTTTCAGTTACTTCAGCTATATTTCATTTTTTATCTTGTGATGTAAATTGCTCATGTTGCACTGACAGCTTTTGACTTCTACTCCTTAAATTTATAATAGAAAACTGAACTTTATTAATCTCATATTGGAAAAATGTAACTCTGCATTTAACC